TGTGTTTTTCCAGAACCCCATCAGCTCCAAGTCAAGTTGTCGTCCTTCAATCTTAGTTGTGGAGGGTGCAGCTCAGCTCCAAGTCCAGTCGCCATTTTCAATCCAATTGCAGGAGGCGCAGCCCACCATCCCATGCGGGAGTCGAACCGGCAACCTTATTGTTAAGAGCACATGCTCTCATCAGCTGAGCCATCTGGCCACCTGTTGGCAGCTCAGGGACAGCTCAGCCTGGGCACAGCTCACTGGCCCACATGGGGATCGAACCGGCAGTCCTATTGCTCAGAGCCTGTGCTCCAACCATCTGAGCCACCTGGCCGGTCCCCTAATTTATTTAGCATTTCTAACATTTTGTCCCATCTTTCCTTGGGTTCAAAGATTTCCAACTTCCAAACAGCCACCATACAGATAAGCTTTAGGAGTGTGATCCTTTTATAAACTGGGAACTACCTAGATAAGAAGTGTAACTGGTCATTTGATACTAAGCACAGTGAAATTCTAAGGAAGGAGAAGAGATCTGTCGACTGGATGAGTATAGGAAGCCTTCTTAGGAAGAGTCCTCAAGCCAGGATTGCATCCCATGGCATGAAAGTAGGATTAGAATAGGCAAAGAGGCAGGGAGAGAACATTCTGGACTGAGGGAATTGGAGTGTCTGGGTTTAAGGTAGGGAAGGTACATTCTTCCCTCATGAGGCAGGGAGGATAACAGCATGGGGCAGACTCATCTAAGGGAACAGGGAGAGGGATAGGGGAAGCCTGGGGTTGGGAGAGTGAGCTGGGATGGGTATTTAGTTCTCAATGGCCTCTGACTATTTCCACGTTCATCCAGCTCCCTGTTTGTTGACAGTCTCGTTTCTTCTATTCTCAGGTCCATGATAAGCCATGCACTGAAAATATTCCTCTGTCTCTTTCTAGGCTGTTGTCAGAAGGTGCAGATGTCAACGCAAGGCACAAACTTGGCTGGACAGCACTCATGGTGGCCGCCATCAGCCGAAATGACAGGTGAGAGATCTGTTTCCACACAGGGTTTGGTCAGCCATATCTCTGCAGACCACTTTCCTGAACCGTCTCCCGCCCTTGCTTGTCCCCCTGCTGTCCTCTTCAGAGGCAGGGAGATGGACTCAGCCTGAGGTACTGGTCTACACCTGGTGCAGTGGAAAGTACAGGAGATGTGAAGAGGGAAGATGTAGCTGTGGGTCCCCAGCTCCATCATTTTTTGGCTGTGTGACCCTAAAGGCGAGTCCTTTGCATTACTGAGGCAACAAAATGTTTGAAAGCCTGTCATTAAGTTATTGAGTATACATGTGCGAGTTACCATCATGTTTTCGTTATCCACCATCCTCTGTGTTGAGAAGCCTGTAGTCACTGTCGCCAGCGAGGGCTCCTCTGGGCTTTTTCTTTGGAGGCTCTGATGGAAGTTAGGGAAGGTGGTAACTGCTCCCCATTCCCGCAGGGTGTAGCTATTGTGTAAAGATCAAAATAGTCCACTTTGTGTAGAGAGTTACCACTATATCTCACAAAGCCCTCCACAACGTATATATTATTGTTCTCATTTTGCAGCTGAGAAAACTGAAGCCCAAAGAGAGAAAGTGATTTATCTAAGGTCACATTGACGTGATTTAGAGTCTGGTCTAGCTGGCTGCCTGCAAAGTTTGTGTGTTTTGCTGTACCTCTCTGCTGCCTCCCTCTGCCATGTCCCAGGCTAGTGCTGGATGCTGCCAAAGCATTGATTAAATAAGAGCAAAAACAAATGCTTTCAAAGAAAACAGCCTGGGCACTTTGGTAGCAGCCACTGAAATTGATAGTTGTAGGTACCAATTTTAGTTTTCTTTTTAAGGCTTTTATCTGCCAGACCTGGCCACCTTTGGAAGGGTCATAAATGTGGTGGAAACCAACAAAACGGGTTTTGTAATGTAAGGGTGGTACTGCCTTGGACTGCCTGAGACACTTAGCTTGTACTTGAGATGGGTCTCTCTTCTGCTCCTCTGTCGGGTTCTCAACACTCCATTTCCTCTTTATCTTCTAGCACTTAGTCTTTAAAAGAAAAATTGATGTCAACAGACTTTGCAGTTGAGAGACCTGCAATCCAGTCCTGGTTCTGACCTTTAGTTAAATTTCAGAATTCTATGGACACCCTGTTTCTCCACCTGAAATTAATTATTTCTACAAACACTTGGTAACTATTTACTCTGAGCCAGGCTCTGTGCTAATAATCATTGGGGAATCAGAGACCTTGGGAGCTGGCAGCCTAAAGTGGGAAAGAAGGCAGGTAGAGAGACAGAGTGTAGTGGAATCAGTGATGTCAGAGCAGTGCAGACAGGATGTTATTAAAACAGAGGGTGTGAGAGGACTGAATCTGGCAGCAGAGTAGATTCTCGCTCTTTGCTTGTGAGAAGCAAATGAGATAGTGTATGTTCTATAGGTTACAAATGGTGAGTTGTTATTCTCTGCTGCCCACATTAGACCCCTCTACACATGTGTTTATTCCACCCCACCACTTCCACCCCACCCACCAGCCTTTTTTCCCAGCTAGCAGGTGTCTCCATCAGCAAGAGACCAGTGGTGGAGAAAAGGGGGTACCCTTATGTGTAGTATTTTCAGTGTTGAGACAGAATTGGAAATAACACTATACTTAAGAGTACTGTCAATCAGTGAGCAGATAGCTAGTGAACTTGCTTTGGGGACATTTCTTTCTGAATCTAATGAGTTGTTGGTTTAACTGATAGCCTGTCTCTTTATCCAGGGCCATTCGCAAATCAGTGATGCTCATTAAGCAAAATGGGATTGTTGGCTTGTGTTTATTTGCTTTGGTTCCTAGACTAATTATTGGCATTTTAAGTGTCCATTTTGTGGCCTCCTCTTCCTTCCAGTACCCAGGGATGACAGATCTTAGTAAAAATAGTATGCTCTCAGGTTGGATTTATTTATTCATAGCACGAGTTTTGAGGAGCACTACTGTTTGCCAGGCACTGTTCTTGACAGTCAAAGATCCCTGCCCTGGTAGAGCTTATTTCTATAGGAATGGTGGTCCTTGAGTAGAGAGAGGCAGGGAAAGATAATCAACAAATATAACACATAAGTAAACCACAAGATATACTAGAAGGTAAGAAGTGCTATGGAAACAAGGGAAAGGAGAATCTGGTAAAAGGGCGTCGCAGAACTACATTGGTCAGGGTGAGTAGGCCTCATTGGCAGGGTGCCCTAGGGGTAGTCTTAAAGGATTATCATGCTTGTGCCCATACCAGCACAGTTGCTAGTAAGTTTATCCTTATCAGAAGTGTGCTGAGTCTCATTTCATCAGTCACCAAACCCTCCAGAATCGTATTGACCAGGACTGAAGTGCTACCACCTTTGAACTGGATTCAGGTAAAGGGAAGGTAGAGGGACAGCATCCCTTTCAGCAGGTTTCTCTGCTGAGAGCAGAGAACCTCCTTTAGAATGTTGGCCACCCACAGGCTCAAGGGAGAGCTCCTGAGAGCAGCCCCTCATCTCCCGCTCAGCTGCCTTTAGTGAGCGCCTGCTTAATGTGTTAAGTCCTTGGGGATGGAGAACACAATAGTCTCTATCCTGACTTCTTGTGAACTTTTATTTATGTATATATTTATTATTTTATTTTATTTTGAATAGTAAAGATAGTACTATTTTATTTAATTTTGAATAGAAAATACAGTGAAAATACAGATCAGAATTTTCAAAGTATATATAAGAACTTAATTTATAATTTATTTCCTCCTTTTATTTCCAAAAAGGGTTTGAGGTGATGTAAATTAAAATACAAATACGAATGTACACAGGAGAGTTAAAACTGGATCAAGATCAGAAATCATATTGGTAAAAGGAAAGATAATTGTATCAGAATTGAACCAGAGATTTTCTTTTCCGAAAATAGGTTTATTTTTTTTGTAAAAATAATATAGAGAAGTAAGTAGCAGTCAACGGAATTCCCTCTATTTAGAGACTGATCATTGTGTGTATACATGTGTAAAATTTTGCATAAATGAGGCCATGCTGCACTCACTGTAAATCAGGTAATTAGTGGAATTGAGTATGAATTTAGATGAAGTTTCCCGATGATCAAACAAGGGATACATAGAGTTTTGATTCTCCAGGAGAAAGGAACTTTGTTCTGACATCCCTTTATATTATCATTTCATGCATCCAGCAAACATTTTTTCAGTCTATACTGTGTCAGGTGCTGAGGTGCCAGGCTATGAGGGGATGCAGATAATAAGTATCACAGCTTTTGCCTTAAGAAGTTGACTTGGACTGCTGACATCAGGCCTTGAGTAACATGATGGCTATTGTCTTCAGTAACCATTCTGCCAAAGATTTACCAACATTCTACCAGGACAATCCATTTACCAGTCCCAGTAGCAGCTTGGGTGTAGTACTGACTCAAGGAGCAGTCCCTGGGGCTGGCCCCCTCTCCACAGTGAGCCCTCCATAAACCTCATGCCACAGGCACTTGTTTAGCCTGAGTCTGGGTGCCTCATTCCATGTTGCACTCTGACCCAGCCCAGCTAAAGGCTAAGCCACAGGGTCCCAGGATGATCACTGTGACTTAGCATAGCCTTCACCGGCTCGTGCAAATATACCCAGCCTTCAGCCAAATTCAATTAGTTTTTCTTTAAGAAGGGAAAGAAATCCAATTTTACCAAACATGGACAGACGGTGGAAGGCACTTTGATGTTACAACCTCTCAGTGATGCTTTACTTAGTCACAAGTTCATAAGCAAGAAGGTTTAATTACTTGGGAAAACACAGGATTAAAACTGGACACAATGGCTGAGTATCCGCTCTTGGGCGACTTGATTCGAACCCATGTGCCCAGTTCGTGTGTGGTGCAAACTTTGATGTGTGCTATGACAAGCTGAAAGTCATGACCCCCTCAGGGAAGCTCCTTCAGATGGCATTTGCAGGATGTGTAGGCGGAGAGGCAGGGCCTGCCAGGCCTGTTTGCTCAACTTTGATGTCCAAGCAGCCACAGGCCCCACTGTTTGCTCTTTCACTGAGGGGTGGATTGGGAGCCTCCTACCTTTCCCAGTGGACAATGGCCAGCAATGGAGTGTAACGACTGTTGACCATTCCAGGAGCCTGGCGGACCAGAACAGGACTTTGGGAGGTACAGAGGCTGGGGGGGCCAAAAGCTTTTTATAAGACAGCCATTTCTCCAGATGTAGCTTTTCTTAAAGCCTAATATGTTAGTTGGGTGCTTATAGTGGAGATACAAATAGTCTCATGAGTTTTAACAGGTACCAGTTACTCCTTGACCCTCTATCCAGTGGCACTAAGGTATTTGTAAATTGAAAGTTTAAGTCTTTCCTGTTTCTTTCATCAGTGTGTATGTACAGTGGATAGTGGTTTAGAAGAAAAATGGTATGATTTAGTTCCTTATAATTTCTCAGAAGAGAAGCTGTCAAAACACATCTGATAAAGAAATAGTATCCAAAAGACATAAAGAACTCTTATAAACCAAAAAGACAACCCAGTTTAAAGAAAATGGGCAAAAGATTTGATCAGACACTTCACCAAAGAAAAGATAGATGGCAGATAAACACATGAAAAGATACTCAGCGTTAGTCATTTAGGGAAATGCAAACTAAAATCATAATAAGATATCACTACACATCTACTACAATGGCTAAACTTTAGAAAAACTGACAATACCAAGTGCTGACAAAGTTGCAAAACAATTGTCATCATTGTGGATAGGAGTGCATAATGGTATAGTCACTTTGGAAAACACCTTGGCAGTTTCTTATGAAGGTAAAACATATTTACCATACAACCCAGTAACACTAACTCCTAAGTATTTGTCCACAAGAAATAAAAACATCTGCAAAAAGACTTGTATGCAAATATAGTAGCATTATTCATAATTGCCAAAAACTAGAAATTACCCAAAGGTCCATCAACTGGTGAATGGACAGACAAATTATGGTACATCCATACAGTGGACTACTGCTCAGGACTAAAAAAAGAGCAAACTATTCATACGTGCA